CGACGGCTCTGGAGGTAACAATGGCTCTGGAAGCAACGGCTCTGGAAGCAACAACGGTTCTGGAAGCAATAATGGTTCCGGCAGCAACAGCAACGGTTCTGGAAGCAACAACGGCTCCGGGGGCAGCAATGGCTCTGGAGGCAGTGGAAGCAGCGGCAGCAACAACAACGGTAAGAGCACCGGCGCTAAAAACACTGGCTCAGGCACAAGCCTGGTCATCACGGTCACCCCAACAGAGGATGAAAGCAGCGGCAGTGGTGGTACAGGCACAAGCTCAACCTCCAGCATCTCGCTTGCAATTTCTAGCAACGGGGTGTCGGGCTATGCCAGTACCAGCCCCAACCACTAGCCCCAGCCATGATCATTCATCCCACACCCGATGCCAAGCGGCATAACTATGAATGATAGCTAAGAGATATCCTCCTTCAGATAGCAAGAGTTCTTCTTCATCATCATCTTCTTCTTCGAAAGGTAAGGAGCCCAACGAAATCGATACCGACAGCAGCAGCGGCGACAACAATGGAAGCACCAACACCGGCAGCGGCTCCAGCATCTATGTCAGCGAAACAAGCAGCAACAACAACAGCTCCACTACAAACAAAGACGATGACAAGGATGATGACAAAAATAAAGATGGTGATAGCAAAAGTTCGGACCCTGTGAGCTCGTTGCTCTCGAGTGTTTCGGGCTTGCTGGGTGGGCTTCTCGGACGCTAGGTGATGCTTAATGGTTGAGTGTTATGTGGATTGTTGCCGAAGAGTAAGTGGTGGTGGTAATACTAATATAAGGCGAGAGTGATAGATGTTGTTGGTACCTGATTTTGATTTCGTTGCTAGTTACTGGCTTGGTTCTTTGATTCGTTTAGAGTTAAGAGGTTCTGCTTATTTACTCATTACTTACTTACTTACCTAGCTACGCGCTAATAATTTATCGCTTTCCTCCTCACTCTCTAGAGTAACGATCCAATCCACTTCGGATATCCGAAATAGCTCATAAGCGCTCTTGCGCAGACTCGCATATCTTCCTTCCTATCCACCAAACCAAACCCCCTACTACAATCCTTGAAGAGATTCAACCCCTGCCTCTGATCCTCAGGAACCCGATCCCAAAGCTCGACGGTCTTCTCTTCGGAGAAATTAAAAGACATCCCATAAAGCACAAAAAGCCTCGCGATATAATGCAACCGCGGAGAATGCCAATCCAAATCCAACCAAGTCATTCTCAACCGCCAGGGCATCTTCCGCACCGCCATCCCATCGTCCCAAAGCTCTTTGAACGCGTACCGGCCGCGTTCACCGCAGACGGCGTGCACAAAGCCAATACTCCCGTAGGCGAGGTGAAACAGCGTTCGATCCACGACCACGTCCACGGGCACTTCGTCCGCGGTGACTTCCGTATCGGGATGCTTGGCGCGTGTCGCGGCGTGGAACCGGATTGAGGGGGTGAGCGATACCATTGTTGCTATGGTGGTTAGTGGTGTTGATAAGGGTACGCTGTAGCCTCGGTAAGGGAAGTTCTGGGCCGGGCCGAAGATGGATGGGCGGATTATGAGGAGCTTGTTGGGGAAGGCATCATGGGTATGGTTTGGGCTTTGATCATGGTTCTGGTTGAAGGCTTGAAGGAGGACCCGTTCCGAGAGGTGCTTGGCATAGGCGTAGGGCCAGGGGAAATTGTGAAACCGGGACTCGTATTCCGTTGTTGTGCCTCGGGATTGGAGCTCTTCGTAGATTGTTGCTGTGGAGATGGATGGGGATGATGATGATGATGGATGAAGCGGGTATAGTGTTTCTCGGACCGAGATGTCGACGGCGGCCCGGGAGGAGGCTTCCGCGTAGAGATGACTGTTCGCGAAGGCAGAGGAAATGTACACGAAGCGGTGGAGGTGGGGGCAGGATAGCGCGAAGTGGGCAAGCCGTTCGGTAGCGCCGATGATGCTTTGGGATAGTTTGTGGAGCGGGTCCACGAGGTTGATGGATGAGGCGGCGTGGATGATGATCTCGGTGGTTGTTTTAAGGAGTGTAAGCGAGGTTGGGGGAAGGGCTAGATTTGGCTCTTGGATGTCGCCGTCCAGATAGGTGATCAGGTCCGACGAGATTAGCGTGTCGGACATGGGCTTGGGGAGGATCTTTTGCCATTTTCGTACGGCCCGACTGTTTGGAAAAGAGATGGAGATCAGCACAGGGATTCATTTACACGTTACTGGGGCTGTGTGTGGTAGAGTTTACTGCTTGCCTCCCCGGCAGAGGAGATATATACATTTTGGGCGAGCCTGCGAGACCAACCGGAGGACTAATGCGGTGCCCAAGAAGCCCGTGCCTCCGGTGACGAAGATGGCTTTCTGCGAAAAGAACTCCCACATAGTGTCATTCTGTGCTTGAGACTGGATACCGTATTTGCTGTATTACCTGAGAGCCATATCTTCAATTCTGGGGCATTGTTGGGGTATAATATAATGACTGTGGGGAGAAAGTCCGGTATAGATCGACATATATCAACTACGGACGTGGCTCACGATCAAGGAACCAGATTGTCACGGGTGAGCTTAAACAGTCCCTCAAGGACAGGCATTATAGTAGTAACCATGGCACGGTCTCATCCACAACAGGCTTGCGACTGTGTCGATAGTAACGGTGGTTAGCGACAACGTATAACGGCGGCTAGTACACCGAGGCTGATTAGATAGAGTTGGCAGGTTGGCAGGTTGGCAGGTTGGCAGGACAAATGTGAGATTCCGAGTTGGTGGAAAGTTTAACCGGCCTGGGTGGCGAGAACGCCGGAGACTCTTGGAGGAGATGGGTCGGTGGAATCAAACCGGGTGCCCCTAGAGCCCATCCAGGTTTAGAGGAGTGGATTTGCCAGTGGATGGTGAACTTGGTTGGTGGCGACTCCCGCCCGGGTGTGTTTGCCATCTTGCCTCTTGAAAGGGCGTGTTCTTCATGTGTACCATACTGCAGAAAAGTGAGTAATGCAAGCCACAGTTTAACAATCACCAATCAAGGATGGAATGACAAATGGGTGACAGATGGAAGAAGCAGCCGTAGGAGAGATTACTTTGTACTTTTGTAGATGAAGGGATTGAGGGGAGGGAGAGAAGAGAAGAAACAAGAAGGAGAAGCCGAAGAGACGCCGGACTGGCTGAGTCATGGCCGGCTAGAGCCGAACAGGGATTAGACTAAAACTGGAATTCTAGAAGGGCAGCAAAGAATGAATTAATTATTATTATTCACTTCTTTCTTTCTTCTTACTTCTTTGGCCCAAAAGTGCACGGAATACAAACTGCCACTTCCTCCAGCCATGGCGAGAAAAGCAATAGCAACAATAATATGGTGATTAATGAAAAGGGGGCCTACATTACTCCTTTCTTCTTAACATGGCCTGGAATCATGCCCCCAGTCGGTGATTCCCTACTTCTTTTCACTTTCTTCCTCCCTTCAACTCTCTCCCTCTCCCCTTTCTCCTTTTCCCTACTACTTCCAGATCCACACACCCCAACCGTTGCCGTTGATTTGATTCCCTGCGGCGCTTCCCCACGGCGTCCGTCCAGATTCATCCCAAGGTTCGACCGTCACTCGACGTGCCTAATCCGTTCCCTGCTTTTCCTATTTCTTTTTTGAAAAATATTATTTCTAATTTTCGTTTCCCTTTTCTAGCCCTTCCGTCTACCAGACTAGACCCCCGTGTCCCTTTTGGAACCCACCCGATACGAGAATTGGCCACTGTGCGATTTCGCCTTATATTGCAACTCGGGAACGCGCCCTCTCTCTTCCCTCCCCTCCTTCCAGGGCTCCCCTGATGTCCAGATAGCCTATCCGTCGACCACTATCTCCATCCCCATCCATCTGGTCCGGATAACACAGGCCTCACAGGGTTCTCTCGCACTCTCGCCAGATACTGTTAAAAAGGTCATCTGGATCCTCCAATCCGTCTCGACCCCAACCCCGAGACAAGAGACTCCGTCACCATGTTCGAGGACTTCTCCTTCTCGTCTCCGTCGTCCACCAGGCCCTCGCGCCTGGCGCTCGATGGCGACGATCGCCTCATGGTCGACAGCGACAGTTCCCTCATCTCTCCCATGTCGTCGCGTTGTCCCTCCCCGCGCTCCCATCGCTTCCCCCGGACCGCGTCTCGCTCTCGCTCCTCATACTTCCGCTCCGCACAGCAGCCACCCACCTCCGTGCCTTTCTCTGCCTACGATCACAAGCGGCTCTCTATCAGCACTTTGACGCGGAAACTTCACGAGCACACCCTTCAAAACCCGAACGGCCTGCAGCCCGAAGAAGCCGGTCGCTTCGATCGCCCGGCCTCTCCAACTCCATCGGATCTGGGCATTTCGTCTAAGTTCCCCGGCTATGTCCTCACCCCGCCAGACACAGATCACGATGACGAGTCCCTGACTTCGGGTTCCCTCTCTCCGCAATCCTGCTCGCCGTTCCTGAGCCCTACCTCCGTGCCCGCAGACTTCCCCGCAGCCGACAACATCGATCTGAACGGCAACGCCACTACAGCCGCTCCATCGTCAGACGCCTGGACCGTCCGGGCCCAAAGGCAGCAGATCTCCCGTCTACAATGCAACCAGTCTGACGTCGAGGCGATTCGTCGTGCTCTGGTGTCCGATGACGAGATCATGCGTTCGGCCATTTGCAGGGACTCCATCTGTGAAGAGGACTATCACCCCAGTTCGCTACCGCCGCAGACTTCGCCGCGGAGACGTGCTCTGACTTTGTCGCGGAATCGGTTCCGTGGCCAGGCTTCTTCCGCCGCGTCAGCGGAATCAGCTGGTCCGGAGACCCGGGCACGTCGGAAGAGCAGCGTCAGTGCGTTGGCGTCGTCACATCGCATCGAGAAGAGCTATCACTGCTCATCGCGAGATATGCACAAGAAGAACGAGCAAGGTCTGAGGCGAAAGAGCCTTGTGAGTGCGGCGTTGGCGTCTATGGTGGAGCAGGGGCCGGAGGAGTAATCACTATTCTCTTCCCGTTCTTTCTCTTTTCCATTTCTTCTTTATTATTCCACATTTCACTTGATTCCTCTTCTTCCTATCCTTGTATTCTCTCATATTTTTTATGATATACCTGTTATCTGTTTTGTTGAATCTATCGTCATCTCTCAGGGTTCGGGCTTTTTGTGTGCGCGTTGAGAAGGAAAGATACCCAGATTGTGTACCCGGTTACTTGTCTGTCTTACTACTTGTCTGTTCTGTTTTTATCCCTTTCGTCTTGTGCTGTACCCAGTATCTATCATGTATTAGTTCACATTTATACTGTAAATATTGACTTTTCCCCTACCCGTTACCCTTACAGTTACCGTCACCGGTGTTCTACTATTGTTCATCACATATACGTCTCATGTTTGTTCGGATCGGATTTGGATTTGGCTTGCATATCTTCAGCCCGTTATGTTTCCAGTCTTGGCAGTAGTGGTAAACCAGATAAAACCATAGGTGATACAATAGAAGCATATATAGCATGATGAAGCATAGCAGAATATAGGCTTGCAACGGTTCACGATATCAAAAAAGAAAGAAAAAAAAAAAAAAAGGAAAAAGGACAAGACAAGACAAGAAAGAGATCTATTTGCATTGCATCATGAAACCCAGTCTTCAATATCAACAATGGAAAAGGATAACTTTAGTCCCGCGGGATTCCTGTCAAAGGAAAACATCCCGGAGATGGAAACCACAGTGGAGAGCAATGGGGAGGGTAGACGGGAAGGGTACGTGTGGCTCATAAAGAATCGATGGATCAATCAATCAGTCGGTCAATCAATAAAATGGGGCAATTGAGGAAATCATGGCTGCATATCTGCATGTACGGATGCTGCATATGCACATGCAGACCAGACGGCAGGTAAGCAGGTGAGCAGCAGATCCGGAGCATATAAGAGAGAAAGTGGCGGTGCCGAAAGTATCAAGTAGAGCTGAGGTTATTGCGGGGGCAATAAATCAGGAAAGACGGATGGAGCTGAAGGAGCGGTGAGGGTATCGTAATGAATGTTGCTGCAGAAGCGGGTGGTTTTCCGACGGGTTACTGCCGTTTCTTTCGAAACATGCTGTATAGCCGTTTAAACGGGTTTAGTGGCCCCGCATTGGCCTTGTTGTTCTTTTTGCGTTTCTCGAGCGAGCGTTTGGATATGTTGTGGTGGATGTGGATTTTTTGCGCCTGGTGCGGCGAGGGGAACGGTGATGGACTGGCGTAGGGAGACGGAGGGTTCGAGTATAGCGGATGGGGTATGCCAGGTCCGTCTTGGATGGGGGATCCTCCTTGCCAGAGGTTCATGTCGTAGTACCCTGCTAGGGGTGAGACTGGCGATGCTGGGTACATTTGTCCGTCACTTGGAAACGGGGCCGTCGATGGACGTGCATATGACATTGGCGACGGGTAATCACCGTCTTCGTGGATGGGGGAGCCCGGCTCCCCCAAATCGCTTTCATCGGTCCAAGCCCTCGGTCGCAATGGCGGCGGCCGACGTTGTGTGTAGTTTGGGGATCGTGAGTACCGTGAATCCATGTCTTCGGAGTCCTTGTTCTGTAGGCGCTCGGAGATGGATGGTATGGGCTGGTGCGGAGTATCGCCCACGAGCTCTTCGTGGACTTTCTGTTCATCTTCTTCTGGCGCTGGGCTCAATGGTGCAATGGCCCGAAGGTAATCTTCTTCAGATATCGTCAGCCGCTCTTCGGTCGTCTCTATGTAAGATTCCCGGTGGTGGCCGGTCGAGTCGCGAGCTGAATAAGCATCGACATCCTCGATAAACGAGACTATTCGAGCAAAGTTGAGGGATTCATGAGGATTGACGATTTCGAATGATGTGCCATGATCAATAACGGTTGCAGTCCGATTTTTCATGTTGAATAGGATTGAGTCCGAGCGGGTCCGGGTGTGCTTATGAAAGGACCCTTCCTGGTCTGGATTTGAATCCGGATATTTCTCCAATCTGTCACGAAATGTGTCCTATATACCTATGTGAATAGGAAATAAGGAATTGTTGCGGGGGTACCACCTACCAGTAGTCTGTGAGGGTTCGATCTAGAGTATATCGGGCTGTCCGACGAATGTAGTTCTACATTTGGCGACACTGGAATAGTTGTCAGCATTCTGATCCATTATGACACTTTCGCATGCGAATCCATAGTCACTCACAAGCAAACCCCCGGAGACTCTCTGGTCCCTGCTCACTCATCGCGCTCGGCGAGTAAGATGGGGACAACGGGGGAGGACTCGATGCCGCGGACGACACGGAGAACGGATGCGCGGAATGATGCGGATACATCGGGGTCTGATTGAGGTGTATAGCAGCGTTTTTGCGCTTCAATATATGTCCCTCTGGACTGTCAAAGGCAAAGGCGTCGCTGTCGGAGAGTTGTTTGCGATAGTGGTGGAGGGACAATGTTCCTGGAAATGCGGGCTGGCACATGGCCGGACTCGTGGTAGATAACTGTAGAGGGTCAGGGTCGAGACCGGGGGAAATTGATGATGTCGAGACTGAGTTCATAGCGGCTTGTTGGTGTATAGATCCATGGCCCGAGGACCAGACATCCATGGTTATGGCCACGCCAGGCATCGCCGAACCCGGTTGTCTGATGCTTAAAGGAGAAGGTGGAAAGTAGTAGTACCTGAGAACCAGCGGATGAAGGTTAAGAATGAAACGAGAAAGAGGACCACTCGGGGATTTTGCGAGGTTGCATTGAGCACAATTGGATTGTTTTATTTGTTGTTGTATTTTTGGGGGGGGGGGAATTAATTATTTTTTGAACACCAACACAGGGTGTTTTGTCATATGTAGTAGCAGGGCAACGGTGCTATTAGCATATTTCCTGCACGTTGATGTGACGGCAGAGCAAAGGGGAGTTAAATGAAAGCGAGACAGGGTGTCTCAATTGACTGGATTGGGTAAGAAGTATAGAAAAAGTAGGTAGGAAGGAGTAATAGTAAGAAGTAGTAAGCAGGAGATGTAACACAATACAATGAAAGTATAGTAGGAAGTAAGTTAAGTAGTAGTTGTGGTAGTTACTTGATCGCACCCGGCAATCTGAGAACCACTGCGATGGCCGTGCGAGAAAAAAAAATGGTAAGTAGGGTAAGTAGGTAAGGTAAGTAGGTCGACAGTAATAACGAAGACCCCTTTGAACAAGACAGACAGACAGACAGACTCGGCCATGGGCTGATGAAAGAACAGACAGACAGACAGAAAACACAACTAAAAGCACAGCAGCGTCACTTGACTGCCAGGTCAAGCTGCAGTTGACGTGCATCGCAGCCAATCAAGGCCATGGCTCCGTTTTCAGTCTCAAAAACATGACCAGTCCAGCCCACTTGGGCATCAACTGGGAGGGGATCCACTGCCCCATCCCCTCCCTGCAAAGTACGACGGTGGTACTTACCACTCTATTGTTCTACCGTTGTAGAATCAAGTAGGAGAAGGACACAGAAACGCGAAGAGAGAGTGGATGTGGATGGACGAGTGGGTGTGAGAACCAGAAAATCAAAAGTATCCAAAAGCATCCATCCCTCTCTCTTGGACGGGACAACTCCGACCGAGAGAGAGTCATCATCCACTTCCAACTTGCACATCCCCATCTTACAATCTTTCTCCCTTCTTTTTTTCTCTCCTTGACTTACTCGTTCTCTGCCTCCTTCTTCCCTCCCCTTGCCTCCTTGTCGAGACATGATCCTTCCGAATGACCTCAGCACTCCCCCTTCCCGAGTAACCACTAACCAATCTACATTCCATGAAGATTCTGTTTCAACCCTTTTCCATCCCGTTGGTTTGAGATATGCCATCCGGGCCACCCATTCGTCCGCAGCCTTTTCCCCGATCATCGTCCCGGCTGCCAATCAACGTGGTCAACTCAGCTGTTTTAAAACTCGGGCGCATTCAAGTCAGTCCGCTTCTATATTTGCCTGCTTTCGCCCATCCATTCCGTCTGCTCTGCTCCTCTCCGTAGTTCATGTGTCCAGTCACACTAGGCATCCTCACCTCACCACCCTTCTGAACCGAGCCATGCTATACGTCCAATCCGTCCACCATTTGAGTTTTCCATACATCATATGTGGCTACGATGGTTCCCTCTCAATTCAATGAGGCTGACGGTTTCTGATCCACTCCGCCGAACTTTACTACTAACCAACTGTGTTCCCTGTCTCGTTCCCAACACCTGCTGACTTCTATCGCCATTCGATAGCACAGTCCTTTTAAGGTTGCTTGGGGTGCCGCAAACAACTCGATAAACTAAGTAGGGCCAAACCCCAGAATCATCGAGGGATTCCCATTTTACAACATCGGTGCCAGTGTACTATTTTAGCACCGAGGGCGGATTTTCTCCGTTCGGCCAACCGAGTGTAGCGTGGCATTCTCTCACCAACGAAGCCAAGACCGCCATCTCATAAGCCACGAGAGGAAACCACTCTCCATTGAACTACGTTGACCGATACTGCCAGAGTGGAAACGTCACCAAGATCGTCCTTGTAGAGCCCTGTACCTGCCAATGTTTCACAAAGCACTCTGAAGCTGCGGTACGCCTTATCGTGTCTCAGGAGCTTCGTACCTATCTCGTGATTTCCCTAGTAAAATGCCAGGCAATTTGGTGGAACATTCCCGCAGACCCCAGATTACGACGCAGTGCAGAAGACTTTGCTCCCAAGGCCTAGACTGAGCCATCACTGTGTGACTACCTCCTTAGTAAGTAATAATGTTGAGTCGTCGAGCCGTTGACTGGTGGGTAGAGATGTTTTGTATTCAAGGCCTATAATTGGCTGTACAATTTACAGCGTCACAGGATAAACCCCCAATGATGCACCAGCCTCTCTACAGACTTTGTCCTTCACCATATTTAGAGAAGCTAGCTTTTATGTCACCAGTTGTGGTATTCAGAACAGAATACCGAACCAATCCTGTCAACATGGACTATTACGGCAAGTGCGATACTTATCCATGATACTATTATTGCCGTCACATCCATGTCTTCTATAAACTCTACTCCGAGCGATACTCCAGACCCATGGGTGGATTGTGCCATGGGTTGGGCAGCAGATACGAACCGCATCACCTTTGCCTTGTAGCCAGACTGGATCTAGACTTGGAGTCGTCTTCGCGTTCTCGCAGTCTAGATTTCTCCGGGTCTATTGAGAGCCGATCTATGAGCTCCAGATGACCTCATGCAATTGGCCCCTGGATTGACTTGACTGTTGATAGGCGATTAACTATATCACGCTCGGAGAAGTCTACTCTGTCGTCTGATGTGCTTGTATTCATATAGTCATCCCGAAGGCTGTCATGCATAGCCAGTGTAGCTAAGAAGTAAACTGAACGGTGAGTTAGTCTAGCCATTCGCTCGCCAAGTCATCTCCGCGGCTCAAGAACGCAGTGGGCTAGGGACTGGATAGTGCCTATCAGTAGACTAAGTAAGGCTAAGTATGCGCACTTATTTCCTCTTTCAATATTGAATCATGTATAGAAAGCAAGCCAAAGCCCGGCTTGCAGATGATTAGTGGCCCGGAGAGGATACATGGAATCATCATCCCGGAACCTTGAGCTACATCCCTTTTACATGAGCATTGCCGAGAGCATCTAGGAACAGGATTTCTCACGATGAATCAGTCACTGATTGGTGCCCTGTCATGCCGCCGGCCGAGGAACAGGCACAACAGCAGTAGGCAGTTCCGAGCATAACCATGCGCGATAGCTTCAATCAAGATGGAAGCGTCATTCTTCGCTCAGGTTGGCTTCGATGATTGGTTGGTGGTTCCCAACACGAGCAACAGCTCAGACAAAGAAGCCAATTCGTACTTACGGTCTAAATGTGCTGGTGCACTGGCACTGGACCCACTTGGTAGAGAGAGTATATCTGCGAGGAACCATGGAAGCATCACGGATTCGGTACATCGCACGGCCTCGAAGTCTGATCGCGACAACCAGTCGTCTCAGATTGATATACTTGGTAGTTTCAAAAGAAAGCTCAAGCAAAGTACTCAACCTCAATGCAAACCGGTACTTGCCGCAGAGAGGAAGGGAACTGACGCGCCAAGAGACAGTGGACGTGACCGGGCGGCATTAGTGTGGCTGGCGGGTACAAACTCCGCCCCGCATCTGCCAGCTTCGCTTCGCCTCTTGTGGACTCGGGCTAATCTGCTTTAGTCTCCATGGCTGGGGTCTACAGGGTCCCATTCCATCCAGCTCCCCTTGTCATCTCGCTCGGTCTGCGCACGGAACTCGGATGGATCGCTCGACTCCCTGCAGGCTTCCAAGATCACCGGTTGACCGTCGGATCTATCGAATGCAGCGCTGACGCGGAAATCTCCATCTGTGATGGCTCACTTGGTCCAATCTGAGCTTTCCCGTCCCAGGGGCCGGTATTCTAACGGCTCAGTAAGGACATGTCAGAATTGTGCCAGAGCCAAGATACGGTGCATCCGCCACGGGGCTACCGGGAGCTGCGATCGGTGAGCTTGTCTGGGCGAGCTGATTGTTTGGTTGGCTTACTAGGTCTAGATGCGAACGCCTAGGAAAAGAGTGTCATTTTCCAGAGTCTCGAAGCACAAATGGAGGGATCAAGAGAGATAGCAAGGACAAGTGAGTTGCGAACCACGGATATGTAGTTCGTCTTCTCACCTCGCGAAAGAAGGATCGATCTACTCGAAGCCAAAGTCGACCAGCTGCTAGCGACGTCGGTATCCCCAATCCCGGTGCGTACAACAGCCTCCATGCTATGCAGAGAGACTAACCGTATTCTAGAGAAATAGCAGCACAAGCGATGAAAGCCCTGCAAGCACTGCATCACAGGCTAAAGATGCCATTGACAAAGGCTTGCTTACCGTGGACGCCACCAATGTGCTGCTGAATGAATTCCGCGCGACACTCATGCCTCATTGTCCATTCGTAGTCATCCCACCACAGACCTCTGCTGAGAGCCTCAGGAGAGACAAGCCGTTTCTTTTCCTTACCATCTTGACGGCTACTCTGTATGACAACATGCCTCTGCAGCGTATGCTCGAAAAAGAGGTGAAGAAGAAGGTTAGCGACTGCATGATCTTCGATGGACCAGTCTCATTCGAAGTGCTGCAAGGGCTGCTAGTCCACATTGCATGGTACGCCTGATAGTCTATGTTTGTATGCCGAGCTGACAGGTCTAGGTGTCAATATCATTCACGGCCGCGCCGGTTCTCGCAATATTTGCATCTTGCGATCAGCATTATCACGGACCTGCAACTGGACCGCGCGCCTGAATATCGGCTCTGGAGGACTCGAGTGAACTTTAATCCCGAAGAACACAAAGAGTCGGTGTCATGGGGGCATGATGAGAGACGGGCCGTTCTTGGGATTTTCTATTTCTCGTCGAGGTAAGTGTGGCTTCTACACGGTTAGTACTGAAGTTAACTTCTTGTAGCGTTTCGCAAATCCTACACAAGCAATGCACCTTTTCGTACATGCCTTATTTTGATGAATGCTGCAAGCTCCTGGCCACAGATTCCGAGTATGCCTCCGACCAGCACCTACTCCATATCGTACAGCTTCAACGGCTTTCGGAGAAGATCAATTCTATCTCGGCACAGAACATTCTAGGGACCCACGGTCCTGGCTCAAGCAGTGAGCGTTCTTTTCGTGAGATGAAACTGGAGCTGGAGCAATATCGGGCTAGTCTACCGTGCCCGTTGAATGAAAACAGTAAGTAGCAGCTTATGATGGACTTCATCACAATACTGATGACACAGATATCCTTTTTATGCAATACTATACGGCCGAACTGTATCTCTGCCAGATTAGTTTGTTCGATAATAAGCCCAAAACGCAGAGCCCAAGACGCGAAGTCTCATTTCAGATCGAGGCTCTCCGGATGGGTCTCGTTGCGGCTAAAGCTCTACTTGACTACTACGTCTGCCTCCCGTTGCGCAGTGAAATGGCGTTCAACAACGCCATATGGATTCAGATTGGCTTTGCACTGACTCTTGCGAGCAAGCTTGTTGTAGCAGCATCAGAGCCTTCGATACAGCCTCATACAGCGGAATTGTGCCGTGCGTTAGACATATCCAGCATGCTAAGTCGTTGCATTCTTCGTATTCAGGCACTGGTCACGTCTAACATGGATGCCTCCGGTGACCGAGATGTGTTCTACCACTATGAACAGCGACTAAAACGGGTTCAATGGTGGTTTGAAAATCGGATGTTATCAAGACAAAAGAGTGATTCCTTTCAGCCTCCAGTACAACCTAGTAGCCCATCCGGAGCTGAGAACAATCACCTTGAATCCACGCAGCTGTCACTGGATGGATTAAATGATTATACAATGATACCCCGTGAAGTGTATGATATGCAATGGCCGGGCTTCTTTCCCGACGCAACAATTGATGAGATACTCGTTGACTGGATGGAGTACACGAAGGCGTCTGAGCAGCGCTTGCGCTGAGCGATGAAATCACTGCCATCTATCTCAGTCAAGACAAAAGCAATCCCATTAATGCTTT